CTCTGGGAGGGTTGCGGAAGTGGAGAGAGCAAGGCAGAGATGGAGCAGGGGCCTCATCTTTCCCCCATCTAGGGTTATAGATGCCTCAGGACCCTGGCCAAGAGACCTTGCGTTTCCCTATTATGAACCTTTTTTTTTTTTTTTTTAAAACAGAGAGACAGACAGAGACAGACAGACAGGCAGAGCCGCAGTGCACACGGTGCGTGTGTCGGAGAGGCCGCCGGGAGACTCACCGCAGCAATGCTACGTGAATGCAGAGGGCTGGAGGTGGTGTGACTACTCACTTGCTCGGCTAACAGCTGCCGGTTTTGGATGGAATTATTCCGCAACAACAAGAAAGCGTCGGTTAAACGCCTGGTGGCCATGTCTCACCCTTTGTGACCCCCCTCTCAGGGGCCCCCCGCCCACTTATAGTCCAGATTTGTTCACTTTCTTTCTCTTGGCCTGGCCTAGGCGGCCCACCCTTCACAGAAGCTTCTCCTGACGAGGCCTCGGACCTCGAGCCGAACAGGCGCAGCTTTGCGCTTTGCCAAGCGCAAAGACCCCTCCTCAAATAACCACCTAGGCTTTCCAATTGTCTGACTCCCCCTACCCAAGACCTGCCTTCGATCTCTAAGCACTTAAATCCCCCCAATCCTTGCCTAGCTAGCCAACGTCCCAGAGACCCCACCCCAATCCAACCTCCGATCTACAAGCGTCTAACTCTCCAATCCAGCTCTGGACTGGGAGGCCCTGAAGCCCCCTACCCGCCTTAGTCTCGGAGACCCTCAAGGGTCTTGGCCCCCTACTCCTAACTTGGCTCACACGCGTCTGGGCAGAACCGTGAGGCCGGGCTTTGACTCAGTTTCCCCACTAGGGGCCTGGCCTAGGCCCCCTTTGGACAGCCCGAGCCAGGCTTGGGCCCTGAACTCCAGGGTGCCTGGTGCTCCCTTCTTGGGCCTCGTCTGAGCCTGCTAAGGCCCTGGCCCGACCTCCTGACCCCTGTCCCTTTCTGGGCAGCCTGCTCGTCCACTGCCACAGCAGGCTGCCGGCCTCCAGCAGGGCAGCAGGGCCTGCCTTCTCGGCCTCCTCACGCCTCTTCTCCGGCTCCCTCCATCCCCGGATCTGACTGCAGCTCGGCCCGGGCCGTTTCCGTACTGTGGTCCCGGGTTCTGGCGTCCCCCCTGGCCCTCTTCCTGTCCGTCTCTCGCGGGTGCCCCCCTGCGACGTTAGCAAGCCTTGCTCGCAACGTTCCGGGCGCGGGAGCTCCCTGCCGCCCTGCCCCGGGGCACGGGAGCGCTCCGCCCTCTCCCGGGGTGCTCTCTGGGCGCCGGGGTTCACCCTTCCACAACTGGGCCCCGGCCCTGGGAACCGGCGAGCGCTCAGGCCTGAGCCTCGGGAGCGTGGCCCCCGAGCTGCAAACGGCTGCCAGGGGCCTGGGCGCGCACATTAGAGTGGAGGAGAGCGGCAGGCAAATCTGGGCTCCGGCAGGGCCGAAGTTGGAGGCGCGCGGACTCGGGGCGGGAGAGGAAAAGTTGGAGACGACTGCCTCTGGAGGCCGGGCACGCTCCACTGCAGGCGGCGGCTCGCGCTCGCTTTTTTTTTTTTTTCTAAAAAAAG